AGGGAAAGACTCTCATGCTACTCATTGCTATTTTGGTGCAAAGAGGGGAGTCCTACCTCCTAGGCTCGACCGTGGTCTAGGATTAAATTCTACTTATAAGATGAACTGAATTTTACTCAAGTGTTGAGGATTTAAGAAGATAAAAAGCTCATCGAAACTCTGATGAGCCTGCTTGGCTTATACAAGAAAAATTTTCTATATGCTTACGAGCAAGCACGCCGACTCGTGACATTGATAGACCTATATGAGTGCATTTTGCCTCTAAAATGTGAGTAGGGCATACAAAAAATTTCCTCAAAAAAACTAGTCAAGAGAATTCTGTCATCTTAATAATATTCAATAATAAAGATAATAAAGATGATTATATAATCAGCGACATTGGATATATAGTCAGCGACATTGGATTATATAATCAGGGACATTGGATATAATCTAGCACAGAAAAAAAACTCAGAAATCAGTGACATTGGATATATAATAAACAATAATAAAGATGATTAAAGAGTTCAATGTAAGTTACTATTTTCTCTAAAAAAAAAAAGTAAATAATGATGCTTGAGATACATATCAGTCTCCGCTCGAGGAATCTTTTACTCTCTTATGTCTTCCTTGGGAGCTCGACAACTACTCCTATAAGATTTTTCTTAGTGCCTGGGGGTTCCAACCCATTCAACTTAACAGAACTTTTCATCTTTTTAGGATACAATATCTTGGAACTAATTCTTTAAGCAAATTAAAAATATATAATATATTTTTGTCATATGTTTTCACTTTGAGATGATCAAAGGCGAGCCATTGGAATATGTAGCTTTATTTTTTAGTATGTATACATCAATTATTATTTACCAAAATGTGATCGCATCGCCACATCTTAGGGATAATAGGTATTGAGATCATACCCGCTCCACATCATGAGAAATTATTTACCAATATAAGTGATTAGCTTATATGCACCAAGACCAAATTGCTCTTTGACGATGTAAAGCCCCGTCCATGAAGAATCGAGTTTGCCAGCTGCGGCATCAACTTTTTTTAAAACCAAGCTGCCTCCTTTGAATTGATGATACTTTGACTCACAAATTAAAATACTTCGAGGGATTTTTGACTCTCCCTCAGGTCGTACATCCTTGGGAGCTCAAGATCTACTCCTATAAGATTTTTCTTAATGCCTAAGGGTTTCTAACCCTCTCAAGAAGATAGTCGATTATACCTTAATAAAGCTTTTTATTTTTTTAGGGTATAATAACTCGCTCAAAACTAATTCTTTAAGCAAATTAAAAATATATATTATTTTTTTGGTCATATGTTTACGCTTTTAGATGAGCAAAGACGAGCCATTGGAATACAAATTTATTTTTCTTTATGTAAACATCAATTATTACTTATCTAAATGTGATCACATGACCATGTTTTAGAGATAATAGATTTTGAGATCATACCCGCTCCATGTCAGAGGAACTTATTTACCGATATAAGTGATTAGCTTACACGCATTGAGGCCAACTCGCTCTTCTATGATGTAGAGTTTGCCAACTGCTTGGTTGCGAGGTACAGGGTCAACCTATTTTAAGACTAGGTCGTCTGCTTTAAATTGACAATACTTGACTCGCGAATCATAATACTTCGAGGTTCTTCTTTGACTTTCTCTTGTCGTAACACAGATTGATCACAAAGTTCTTCTAGGAGATCCAGTGAGTTGAAGAGGATTTCGTCGTTTAGCTCTCTCCATTCATTCGAATCGTGCTCCTCGAAGCTATAAGCGGTCAGGACCTACTGAGTATGTATTTCGTACTATACTGGAAGTACTGCTTTAGTCCCATGTAACAAGTTGAAAGGAGTGTCATGTATAAATGAAGGGCATAATACATAACGCTTATAATACAGAGATAAAATTTTAGTCCACAGTCTCTATGCTACTTCTATCGTCTTTTCAACAAATAGTGAATCAATTTGTTGGCAGATTTCACTAATTCATGAAAGTATATTTAAGTTGTATCCCCTATTTTCTACAAGAATTCTCAACTTTTTTATCATTGAATTGAATGTAGTTGACAGTAATTACAAGAGGATACTCCGTATCGGAAGACAATATCGGTCCATATGAAGTTGTTGACTACTTTTGTATGGAGCAAGAGCTCAGATAATGCATGTGAGTTCAGCTAAAAGAACTCTTTTGAAGATCTAAGTAGAGTAAACCCATTCTAAGACGCTCGATGGAATGCTAATGTGCTTTGGATGAACTTGCAAATTCCTCCCGAACAGAAAGAAGCTCTGCAACTTATCACTTCCAAAGATATGACATGGTATGATTGATCTGGTCACTGCCAGACCACTAAATGCACCGCTTGTTGGGATCAATACATCAAACCCGTCGGGCACATTTAACATCTAGACATTTTTGTTGCTCGACAAGTCATTTTTGGATATATATATATATATATAGACAGATTCAAAACCTATTTAATAAAAAGAAAAGCTACATTCGTAGCACCCAATTCTTATTGCATCTACGTATGTATGAAAAATGTGATTAGTGCTATTTTGGGTGCTGTGTTCATAAAAATGAGAGTTTTGGTGTTAGATGCAAAAATGCACATAAGAATTAGGTGCTATGCATGTAAATTTCCTTAATAAAAATAAAGAACAGAAATCTAAAACTTACCCGCAGCAAACTCGCCCTTACAAACAACTGCCAAATTCTATCTAATGGTAAAACAGTAAATAAATAAAAAGGAAAAAATATTAAATTAAAATCTTAATCTGGCTGATCAAGTAGCTTTAAACGTTTCCTTCCAATAAAAATAATAAATTAAAATCCGTTCAAATCAAAATTTTCAAAAAGAAACGGATAAAACAAGTAGGGCAGCGATGCATGGTACCATGAAGCATGAAAAGGAATGCAGACCGTAGTTGATCTTAATCAATTATTATAAAAGAAATTGACTTGCTTTTGATTTCTTAATCAAATATTATATTAAAAAAAAAAACAGCACTGGCTATAAGATCGTTCTAGTTGCTACATAAATGGCAGAGATCCAAAAAATAAAAAAAGAAAAAAAAGAAGAGGAAAACTATAGCAGAAAGGATTAAATACCATCAATCCGCTTCTCTGATAAAATAAGATCCTGTGTTCGTAGCTCAGCAGCAGAAAAACAGCGAATCATCCCTTTCGGCCATCAAAATTATCGATTTGAAAAACTTTCTACCCCTAAACGGCCGAAGAATTCCATAATCTACCATCAACATTGATGACCCATCTGAACTTTTAACGGCTAGAAGATTCAGAGGTCTATTCACTCTACGGCAATATCGGCGGAGTTGACTTTCGTGCGCCGATAGAACAATACATACGCGGCAGATGTCTTGATTGCATCCTCACTTACTGCTGAGACATGACCATCATCAAAGTGGTACCAGGTACCTTCCTCTATTAACTGCAAAAAGAAATCCAGAACAGACCAAGACTTCAGCTTGCAGCTGAATCAGAACTTCATAATTTCGAATGTAATGTATTTTACACGTAGCTCACAATTCAGTGTGTGTGTGTGAGGGAAATTACATACCTAGCTCACAATTCTAATGTATTTTACACGTAGCTCACAATTCAAATGTATTTCACGCGTAAACTTTCATATTTAAATGCATAACACTGTTTTAAACCTGAAGATTTTTTCAGGGAAAAAAAAAACTAATTCTCATTGGATTTCATAAGATACACTTATGAGAAAAATAGCAGAAGAAAACAACCAAATTAGAGAAGCCACAAAATCCCCATGCTAGAAAATAGGGAACTACCAACAATAAAAAAATTCAAAAAATAGAAAAGTCCTTTGGTGAAGATATCTATAATCTGTTGTGTAGCAGGCATAAAGACATGCAAATGGCACCACAATCAATCTTTTCTTTTATGAAGACCTATTAATCTCCACATTTTTGGTGCAATCATTTTATATTGGATTTTGCATAATACTTATAGTGGCTTTAGTCGAAATACAATTTTATTGGTATATTTATCAGGATCTGCAGCTCATCAAAAATTCTCTTCAATCACACCAGCTCACGCACTCCATTAGCTATAGCTTTATATTTTATCTCATCATTGTTTCTTGCAACCACACTCTATATCTTACTTCTGTCATATAACCAAATTTTTCTAGGCATGAGTACAATTATGAACATCAATCTTCTATCAATAACTGAGCCCGCCCAATCTATATCAATGTATGTTTTTATATTCTATCGAGTAATCTTTTGAAAGAGCAAGCCATTGCCTGGTGTACTTTTTAGGCATTCGAGAATCCTATTAACTGCTTCAAGATGATTCTAATTGGGCAAATTGGTAAATATTCTTACCAAAATCACAACAAAAACAATATCTAGTTGTGTATGTGATAAGTATATCAAACTTACCACAAAATTTCGATATCAAACTGTATTCACTGCATCGTCTTCCTTTCCATCTCCTAGTATTTGATTGGAATCAAATGGATTTTCGGGTAGATCGACAACCACTCATCCAATTTTTATTGAGAAGATCAAGAACATGTTTGCGTTGGAAAACAAAAATCCCTTTTGTCAATCGAGCAACCTCCATACAAAGAAAATATCTCACCTAAATCTTTTGTCTAAAAAATTGATGAGAGGGCAGTCTTCAAATAGTTTATCTCACAAAGGTCATATCCTTTGAGAATTATATCATCCACATGCATAACCAATGTGACTATCTTTTTATCCTTTGAATGTCTAAAAAACATTATATGATCTCCTAGCCAATATACCCATAATTTCTAATAGAGAGTAAATTTCTCAAACCAAACTCTCGGTAACTACTTCAACCTGTATAAAAACTTTTTTTAGTTTATACACCTTTGTCCCAAACTTTACTTCATAACTTGGAGGTGCATCCATATAAACATCTTCCTCCAAATTTCTATTGAGGAATGCATTTTATATCCAATTGTAGTAGGGGTCAATCAAGATTAACTGCAAGTGACAGAGAAACTTCTATATAGTTTAGTTTTGTGATTGGAGAAAATGTCTCCAAGTAATCAATGATATAGATCTGTGTGAATCTCTTGGCAATCAATGGAGCCTTGTACCTTTCTAGAGAACCATCAGACTTCCCTCTAAATAGATCAACCAACTCCCAAGTATCATTTTTTCAAGAGTTTTTATTTCTTCGAAAATAACTTTCAGAACATCTTACACAGTATTAGAAATTTCCAAACAAGATAACTATGAAGTAAAAGCATGAAATTTAGTTGAGAGATTTTCAGATGACATAATGAAACAATGAATGTTGGGTGCAAAACCCAACACCCTTACAAACAACAATGGAAGGACTAGAATCATTAAACTTGGGATTAGAACAAGCCTCGGGTTCAAGATTAGAAGACTCATAACTCAAAGATAAAGTGGATCGAACATACAATAAAGGCTTATTGAGGACATTGCCAGAAGGGTTCACAGATTCTGGGTAGTGCAAAGATTCGTAGACCCATTTTTTGAGTTGTTCTTTGACGAAAGTAGACAATGTCAAATGGTAACATTGTCATAGTTCATTTTCCTATTTTTTCTTAGTTAGTTGATATTGTAATGTGAATAGATGTCATTGTAGAAAGATTTGAATCATCTTCACTAACAAAAAAAAGTTTTACCGACTTTCTCCTGATATAATATAGCTTGAATTTTCATGTTGAACAATCAAAATTAAGGAGGTATTTTGTGATCTTCAGTTTGAAAAAGATCCTGGAAAATAGTATAATCGAATAAGTTTTGTTTCCCCCTTGAAAATGAGGCATGAAAAAGGGTTGTAATTCAAAAAAAGAGACAACTAGGATAGTAAATATTTTTTTAGAAATAGAATCAAAACATTTATAACCCTCTTACTTGGAAGCATAACCAATAAACATTTTTTTTTTGCTTAGGGTTCAAATTTACCGTGATTATGACTACGATTATGAACAAAAGCAGTACACCAGAATATCTTTAATGGCAAAGAAGAAGAGAGGCGATTTGTTGGTAAATTTTATAAAAAATATTAAAAGTTGTTAAAAAGTTTAAAATCTTATTTGGTGTTCTATTTATAAGAAATGTATCAGTAAGAATGACTTCACACAAAAGATATCTCGACACCAAATTAGTAACCACAATGCCCGAATAATTTTCAATAAGAGTTTGTTTCTCTTCGGCCACACCATTTTGTTGTGAGGTATTGACAAAATACCTTTGATGAACTATTCAATTTTCAAGAAAGAATCAACCGATATTTTTTTGAAATATTCTAGGCCTTTATCACTACGTAATAATTGAATTTTTTTTTAAATTATATTTGTACTATGGAATAAAAAATGAAAATTATTCACTTTAATTTTTTTCCTTCATTAAATTAACTGAACTTAATCTTGTGCGATCATTAATAAATGTCACAATCATTTATATTAGAATATATAAATGTTCTAAAAGGAACTCAGATATCACTACGAACCAAAACAAATGATGTAATTGGTTTGCTAGTTTAGGGAGAAAAGGATGCAATATGATGTTTAACAAACGAACAAACTTCACGTTAAATAGAAGCCAAAATTTTTATTGAAATAAAGTGAAAATGAAGTATTTTAAATACTGAAAATTAGAAAAATCTAACCTATAATATCACAATAAATATCTGATTTTGGAGCCAAAACAGAATTTGAACAAGTACTTTGATATTGTCTACTCGAGTCAAATCCATCGTTAAAATAATCAAATCTGTATTTCCTTTGCAATGTCAATCTTCTTCCCATTGGCCAGTTGTTGAAACTCACGACAAGAAGAATAAAAATTAACTTGATAATGATGGTCAAAAATAATTTTACTGATGGATAACAAGTTTTGTAAATTAGGACATGCAGAACATCGTGAATGGTTAAAAACAAAGGGAGTTTAACAGTTCCCATCCCAACAATTATTAAGAGAGAACCATCACCAATTTTACCCCTTTTATTGGTCGCACAATGTCTATAGAATGAGAATAATTTAGAATGACCAGTCATAATATCAGTCGCGTCATAATCAATTATCAAATAGTGAATAAAATTAAGACTAACACGTAGTGGCTAAAAATTTACACTTTTGTACTAAAGAGCAAGAATTAGTCAGACAATTTTGGAGATGTGTCAAGTTCTCATGTTCAAAATTAAAAAGATCGGTGTTGAGCAGAATGATTTTTCTCCTCAAGATCTCACGTTTAACTTAAAAAAAACGAAAAGGAGTTAGTGATTTCTTACCAAAAGTGTGACCTCGGAATTCGTCTAAACGCATATTAACGTCAGCTAAATACATTCCCGATCATTTTCCATCCTTATTATGACGGGTGTAGTGATTTAAATTCTCTCAAACATCACATAACATTGATCAAGTTCCAGTCATAATGCTACCAACTCATTATAATGCTACCAACTCATTATAATAGTTAGTAACATCATGATCACTCTGCATGGATTTCTAAATTTGAGTTTTCAACTCAAATTTTTTAGAGGAATTCTACAGGTCTAAATTAAATCTTGAATGGCCTCCTAGACATCTTTAGCCGTGGGAAAAAAATGGGAGGTTTTGCTATGGTTGCTTTCATCAAGTTAATGAGCCAAGCGATAACAAGAGTTCACATATTGTCATTTCTTCATATCAAGATCGCCAGCAGAAGGTTTTAAGATTTCACCTGTTAAATGTCGAATTTTGACTCCCGTCAATTACCAATCTCACAGATTGAGCCCACTCAAGATAATTATGCCTACTGAGTTTTCTAACCACGAGATAAGGGCTAAATTCTATAAATAATAATCAACAGATAAAAGCATGAGAAGATTTATAGGATGGGACAAAATGCTTTTGTAATTACTGCAACCAATAGAAACGATAGAATTTATTTGGGCATCAGTCATCACTGACTTATACGACAACATCAAAGAACATAGAGGACGGGACAAAAACACGAGTCAAGTTTGATCGCAAGTTCTTTTGCGCCTAGGAAACTAGATCTTCACTTGAAGCTGAGACGAAGCTGTTTGAGAGGAACCTATAGTAGAGAAAAGGTCAGCAGACTGGGCTCCAACAGGGAAAAAACCCATCGAGAAGAAGCTCAAGGCGGAGAAAAACCCAACAAAAGATGGCGCCATCAATGACATCAAGTTGAAAGCCTCTACATCGTGGCAAACCCAAAGCCCTCAATGCAAAAGCAAATCCAAAACCCTCGACGACAAAACGGCGAGGAAGCTACAATGGAAGCCATTCTCCTTTCCCCTCTTTCACACTTTACCAAGGATTTCAACGAAAAAGGAAGCTGAACCACTCGATCGGTTTCTCTAGGTCAAAGATTAGCATGATTCTACACTGCCTCCGCTATAGTGAGAGTATTCATAGAACCCTGGCTCTACACCATGAATGTTTTTGAGCAAAAATATATATATATCTATTAATTCTCCTTAGATTTCATAAGAGATGTTACAAGAAAAATAATAGAGGAATGCCACTAAATTAGAAAAGCCACAAAATTCTCATACAACAAAATAGAAAACTGGCAATAAAATAAAATTTTAAAAATAGAAAATACTAAAAATAAAAAAATTTAATCTCTCCAAAAAATCCGACAAAAGTCACAAAACCCGTGCATGAAAAGGTGTATTTCACTTTTAAAAAGTGGTCATAGTTGTATTATTTATGTGATATTAAAGATTTGAGTGTTGTGTGAGATGTGTAATACATAAGAAGTGTGTGCTATGTAAGTAAATTCACTGTTTGAAATTGACTCATTTTTGGAGGACGTCAGGGGGAACATTGGAACAAAATTGCAATATAGTTCAACAACTCATCCTCAGACGGAAGCTATGACTCACAGTTCGGGAAATCTCCTGTAGTGTTTTGTTGGAAAAGTATTCAATAGCTGGAAGAAGTCATAAATGACAAAATTCATAGAAAGATAGGATGCAATAAAAGTACCTTAGCATAGGCAGTGTAATGACCTCCCCCAAGACCTCCATAATGATTGCTGACTGCATAAAGCTCATATACATGTGATTGCGGGGTTGCTGCCTTGTTCAAGACATACTTGCTTAAATCCAGGTTACGGACAGGAAAACTCACAAATGTATCAAGTTTGTTCTTCAAAAACCGGCTGTAAGAAAAGCGTTTCAAATGAACTACTAAAATTTCTGGTAGTCTCCACAAATCTAGCTTCTTTGTTGCTTGCCTGTGTTGCTTGCAACGAGGACAATACCTAAAAAAAAAAAAAATTAAGAAAAGGTTAGTTTAGTCATAAAAGCTAGTGAAATAAGAATGCCATAAATTAGGAAGTTAAAAGATGACATAACAAACCACATATCATCAGGACCCAAAGGTTCTTCCTTCATAAAAGTCTCCAAGCAAGAAAACAACGTAAAAGCCTCTTGCCTTGTCTTCTTCGACATGAATACAGACTTGAAAATTTCAGGAAGATCCTCCAGAAAGCTGAAATCGTACAAATTTAATTCGCAATCTGACCATTCCAACGCTACCCTTATGCAAGAATCTGGAAGAATATTATCATCATTATTGATGGGCGTCCTTCTCATGCATCTATCATCTGTCAGCGACATCTGAAAGTGAGAAATTTGGTCAGATCCATCAACTTCCATGTTGGATATTGATAAATTCCGGCCGCTGGAACAAGGCGCATTGTCGGTGTTATCTGTTGAAACATATGCATCAAGACTAGGGCCATAGCCGTTGTCCTTGCATGCTGTGGGAGAAGCTTTCTTACGGAGGAGTGGCGTTAGTACAGCAGCAATAGAAGCTCGAATATCAGACCCAGTGTTAGCATCTTTCGCCAAACATGTCACCAAAGGAACCCCTACCAGCTTCCGGTGCAGAATGTACTGAGACTCCGACAAAAAGCTGAAACATAAAAAAACATAATCAACTACAAAAAAATATCAAAAAAATGAATGGGTAATCAATACGAGCCCTTTAATTAGCAAGTTTGTCCTAAAAATACTCACAATAATATTACTGGAAAGAAAATCATATACATAAAATAGTCGCACCTTTCAGCTTTCACATGTACTAACTCCAGTTTCACTAATTTCTCATGATTTGCTGGAAGCCTGTAGGCCACATAGTGCTCTTCATCCTTTATATTGGACAATGCCTCGAAAGGATTCTCAAGGTATCGAATTCGATGATCTAAAACCTGCAATGGAACCAATTAATTTCAGTCACAAAGCAAAACGCCAAGGTAAGAATTTTTGAAAGGGGCATTTACATACATAACACCCAATTCTTATGTATTTACATATCAAATAACACATAAACATTACTTTTTACACATGTACCACCCAATTCTTTCATATCACATCAAAAAAAAATCATTATTTTAACTTCTAAAAAGTGAAATTCACCTTTTCATGCATAGGTACAGTGGCATATATGTAAAAATTGAAGTTAGGTGTTCGATATGTAAATACATAAGAATTGAGTGCTATGAATGTAAATATTCCTTTGTAAAAAGTAAAGAAAAATTAATCCCTGCCTCTGCGACAAGCAACGCCTCTGAACTCTCCAAGCAACATGCAATACTTAAGGCTCGAACAAGGTCCCTACAGCAGCCATTTTTGGGCACGGTCACCGTAAAAGGCATAGGAAGAGCACTTCCATCTCCACTAAAAACAGTTACATTCATCGATCTGGTAAGTGTAGAAGGCAGTGGAAGTGACAAGTACATGAAAGGGTCAAAAGTAACAGAAACTTTACTGCAAACTGGACAAACTAATGTTGACTTGTATTGGCCCTGATAAGCAATTAAGAATATATAAGTTAATGGGATATAATTAGTCACATTAAATAACCAGCAGTATAAACCTAGCATTTAATATGGATATCCAAAAATGGACATATATCCACAAGAGTTGCATAAAAATGACTTCAAAATAGCCATCTCATAACAAAACATCCAGAAGAAACATTCTTTTTCATATCTTGGAGCAATTATTTAAGGACTCCTCATCCCCAAAGGCCATAAATAAGCAAAAGGAACAAATATAAAATCTAAATAATAATTATAATAATTTAACCAATTTTAAAACTACATTATTGGTATCCAAAATGACCAGATGGACTAGCAAATCCATGATAAGGTCTTGAGATTACAAATGAACTGCAAACATTAACAAAATCTGCACGAAATGCAGAGCAAAAGAATACACAAATTGCAAACACCATAACCCAGTAAATCGAACTCTCTTAGCAAACAATGTTTGGATAACACATTCATAGAACCACAAATCTCATTAAACCATACACATCCTGTTAAAATCATGCTTAAGAGCAAAGCGACGAGTTGTGCTAGCACTACACATCGCTTTTCTATGAAAAGCAAGCTCGTCGCGAAGTATAAATGTTATGCATTTTTCTCGAATCACATCGAAAAGCTATGTGCTTGGCTCTTGCTCAAAGTAAATTGCTGGTTCATATTGCATGATTTAGTTCAACATCTGCCACAATAACTAAGTAAAATAATTTGCTTCAAACTATTTTTCATAGTCATTGAGTCATTACTCATAGATTCTCCATTCTCTTCCGTGAGCTAGTTGCTTTTTGATGGTTCTTCTCTACATGCTCCCTTCGCAGAGCTAGACCTTACATGCTTGTCATTAGTTCTTGTTATTGGCACTAGTAACTTTACACTCACACTCTTTTTCTCAAGAATGCTTCTTGATGTCTCACATCCACTTTATGTCTCGCTTCACACTCCCTACGTCTCTCAGCCATCAACAAACATTCATGGCGGCGGTGATTTCAAAACGCCGTTGTAGAGTTTGTTTTGCACGTTTGACCAGCTTTTTGTAAAACGTGGTTTCAAAATTTCGCATAATCTCGCCCACGGTATTACCCCTACGGTCGTGTTTCCTTCGCTGCGTTTAACCGCGAATTACTCCCGCTACCCCGCTTCACATAAGCAATCACGTGGAATTTTACCCCGCTCTTTGCCCTAGCTCGCGAATTACTCCCGCTCCCGCTTCCTTCCGTTCTCTCGCAACTTCTTTGACATTCAGCTCCTCTCTCCCTGCTTCTTTGACATTAATTGTAGGCGGCCGGTAATCCTTCACAGCTCCTCTCTTCGGCATTCTTCCCCTTCGAGGTAATCCTAGGTGGCCGGCTGTTTCCTTCCGTTTTTTTTTTAACATTTTTCTCTACTCCCAGGTCGGTAATCCTTCGCAACTCCTTCCATTTTTCTTTTTTACATTTACCTGTATTGCATTTGATTCATTTAGCCTCTCTGCTGGCATGGCCCTTGTGTTTCCAATCGTTACATGGAGCAGAGAAAGACTGCTGGGATGGCTTCCTCCCTTTTTTTTTTATTCATTTGGAATGTTCCTTAACTTGTGTTTCCAATCGTTACATGGAGCAGAGAAAGACATAAGTATGAACATTCCAATTCATATTGCATTTGCTTCATTTAGCTTCTTTTTTTTTTTTTTTTACATTTTTCTGTACTCCCAGGCAGGTAATCCTTCGCAGCTCCTTCCATTTTTTTTTTTTTTTACATTTAACTGCATTGCATTTGATTCATTTAGCCTCTCTGCTGGCATGGCTCTTACGTTTCCAATCATTACATGGAGCTGAGAAAGACTTATGGGGTTTGATCCTTATGAAGTTCAACTAAAGATGGAATGAGCTAACTTGTAGAAAACCCTTGCTCCGCCTCAATTGGAAATGAAACCTTACTCTGCCTCAATTGGATATTTCTTCCCAATTACTGTATTTCTCTGAGTGGAATCATTTTTTTAATTTGAAATGATACTTTCAAAATTAATGAGATAGATATCTATACTATTATAGATAAAAAATTAGAGTACTCACTGAGTTTTTTTTTTTTTTTTTTTTATCAATGCCACTTTTGATGCCCCTTGACCAGTTTTAAGTGCAAGGGAAATCCATTCAATCATACTTTTACTTGTACGAACTTGAATTTGAAGGCTGCTTTTTATTTATTTAGTGCATTCAGACTGGATACGCTCAACGTTTTTTATTGGACTGTTATTTATTTAGTGTTATTCAAACTGGGTCTACGTATATGTATATATGATGTGAACTACTAAACTTAGTAACTCTTCACACGAATATGTTATCCATCCTATTGTACTACAGCAATAATCAGCCATATGTGTTGCCAAAGCCAAATGTTTAGATTTGAAGGAAGCTTGACCACTGTAATTATGATCAGGGGAAATCTCAGATTTTAGCTGAGCTTTTAATTCACATTTTTTTTTTCAATCTGTACAACTTTTCTTGCTCTGTAATTTTAATGAGGTGGTAGGCATGTAACTAGAAGAATATATATAGAGAGTTGTACATTTTCACCATTGATCCATTGTAGGAAATAGGATTTGCTCCAATTTGGTTTGAGCAGTATAAGGAGCAGTTGTGATAGGAATCAGATTGTATAAACACGCTTGATTTAAAACTCGTTGAACTTCAGCTCTGCATGAATCTGTTTTTTTCTTTTCATGCTTTTTTAATCGTGTGTAAAATACTCAGATATTGTAAATATTATTTCAAGTCCTTTTTGGCTAATAAATGTGTACAATGGCTTTACATCAACGATTCAGGTTATGCATCAGGCATTGATGCGTCAGTGTATTTTTGTGTATTTTACCAAATGCTACCTCTATTTGGTAGTTTAGAATAATAGAATTGCTTTTTTATTTTTTAAAAATCGGCTTCAATCCAGGTTTGCTTTTAAATCCTTATTTTGTTATATAAAAATAAGTATAGAATTAGAATGAGAATCTAGATTTATTTGTTGATCCTTTTTCTTTCCAGTCATTCATGCATAAGAAAGATGACTCTTATGATAACTTTCGTCTTTCTCCCACTTCCTCCCAGCCTCCATGGCAAGCTTTAGCTTCTATAAATCCCATAAAGCCAGTTCCAATTGGATTTTTAAAATTCTAGCTTTAAAGCATAATGGTGGAAAAACGGGATTCAAGAGCCTGAAGGATTTAAAGATGTCATTTTTGCAAGCAGGATAATAGCTGTTTGATTTCTTACATGAGAGTGAGGTGGAGCTGTTAGAATAAAAATGATAAAGGAAAAGAAAAGTGGGTAGACAATATGAGAATTATAAGAACAGTGCGGTGGTAGGAGCACTGTTGTTAAACTGGGTGCCTAGGATGTAAAATTAAAATTTTGGGTGTGAAATACGTAAATTATGTAGTTTCGAGTGTTATGTATGTAAATCCCCTTTTTTCTTTATTTTATGTTATTTGTTTATCAAAGATTCTTTCTCCTAAATAGGATTTAAGCAAATAGAATGAGCAAGAATGTGTCTTTTTAGGGGCTCTCAGGCCACCTTCTAAGAAAAATTCCTGAAAATTTATTGTTATATCTGCAAGATTTTTTCTTGTAGATGTTTGTTTCACCCTGATCTCAAGCCCAAATTAGTGTAAATTTTCCTATCTTTTACTTAACTCAATTGTTGTATTTCTAGTCACCAAACATTGACAGTTCTTGTGTAAATGTGATTAACTTGGACAAGGATATCCTAGTATTTATTTGCTTTGCAAGGAACTATTACAAATTCTTCTACATGCCCCATTTGATTGTTTCTAAACAGCAAACATAATTATGCATTGTACTTGGTTGGATGTAAATCAAGTGGCTTATTTCATTTTTTGTTACTAGCCACTCAGATGATTTATAGATAGGACTGAGAAAGTAAGTTCATATGCATTTATATTTCTTACCCTTAACAAGCGTTGATGCCCAATTCTATTTAAAATTCAGAACTATCTCTTACAGGTTTTGAATCAAAGAAAGCATTTGGCTAGTGTTTCAAAATCTTTCTTATGCATTTTTTATTTCATTACAACTTCTCTTATCACTAACGTCTTTCTTCTGCATTTTTTATAGAAAAAAAGAGCTCAAATATCTCAGGGAAATCCGGGCTAGTGCTTTACTGTTGCGGACTGCCTATTGTGTTGCTCACATCGCACCGCCACATAGCTACGAGTGGAGATTCTACAGGTGCATATGATGGGCAAACAATACGGACAAGTGTCAGTTCTTCAGGTGTGCAGACATTCCAACATATTCCACTGTAAATAGTGATCAAGGCTCAACAATATCCCAACCGGACAGAGTTGTTCGGGATTCGACGGCATCCTAACCAGAGAATGTTGCTCTAGACATTGTCATTCTACATTTTAAAATGAATGTTATCATAATTTTAGTTGTAATTTTGTTATGTTATTTGTTTTTTAATGAGTTTGTAGATAGTCTCCCTTGAGTTAGAAGAATATTTTTTTTCCTTTTAACTGTTATGTAGTTTTTTTTTTTTTTGAATTTTAGTATATTGAATGTGTTCTCATTATATTATTGTTGCAAACAACTCCATTGCGCATGACTGAAATGATCATTTTTCCACCAACAACTGTAAATCAGTTGTTTCCAAACCGTAAAAACCAAACAACTTAACAGCTTATTCAGTTTAAGGGCATAATCGTCATTTATCTACAAATAGTTACAAATCAGTTGTTTTCCAAATATTCAAATCAAACAGTCAGACAACTTATCTGATTCAGCTGCTGATCAACAACTTATCAGGATAAGTTGTTTATCTCGATAAGTTGGATAAGATGCAACTACCCCAAACAGACCCTCAATTTTACGAGCATATCCTTGAATTTTTATTTTAAAAAGTATTTATTGATGTGGTTTAAGTTTTGTTGATAAAAAAATTATGCATATAATATATATACTTGAATTTCATATTAAAAATGTTACTTG